AGAGACAGACAGACAAACAGACAGATAGAAAGAAAGAGAGAGAGAGAAAGGGAAATAGAGAACGAGACAGAGAGACAGAAAGAGACAGAGAATGAATAAGAGACGTAGAGAGAGAACGAAGTCTCTCAACCCCTTTTTAATGAACATGAATATTACTTTTTGTTCAATCATTCTTCAACAACAAGAACGGACATTTGTCAATAAAAAAATACAAATAGATTAAAAAATCATATGAGTTACGTCAATCATCCTCAGATTTCTACCTGTTATATATTTGCTTTTACAAACATATATCTTTTTCTGTATCTTTATGTCTGTCGATAATCATATTCTATCTAATATATCTATCTGTCAGTTTCTCTAACCATTTTTTGCTTATAACTATATTTATCTATCTATCAGTCAGGCAATCTATCTATCTATCTGTCGGCATATCTATCTATATAGTTTTGCATATAACTATATTTATCTGTCTATCTATCTATCAGTCAGTCTATCTATCTATCTGTTTCTGTCGAGTTTCTAGCGACAAGTGTCTTTTATCACTATATTTATCTCTCTGTTCTCCCCTTTCTCTCTCTCCTCCCCCCTCCCTCTTTCTCTCTTTCACACCACCACACACCATTCTCTCTCTCTCTCTCTTTTCTCTCTTCTCTTCACTCACTCTTCTCTCTCTCTCTTTCTCTCTCTCTTTCACTCACTCTCTCTCTCTCTCTCTCTCTCTCTCTCTCTCTCTCTCTCTCTCTCTCTCTCTCTCTCTCTCTCTCTCTCTCTTCTCTCTCTCTCTCTCTCTCTCTCTCTCTCTTCTCTCTCTCTCTCTCTCTCTCTCTCTCTCTCTTGGGAATGTTGTCAAACCATGGACACCATGTCTTTGAAAATGAAAAGTTTTAACCAGTGATAATTTAGCAAAATTCCTAAAATTTAAGTCAAACTCTTTTCACAACTGATATTTTTTTTTTATAGTAGAGCAAATGCAGATACTTCACATATTACAAAAAAATGATGGAATCTTTCTTTTACCCATTTTTCTGATGAAAAATACTGACATAATCTACAAAATGGAAAAAATCGCTTCTAATTTCAGTTTTGAAATAAAAAAAATCACGATTTTGTTTACGATATAAAAGCGTGGAAAATGACACGTTATTAGCTAGAAATACACGACCTAAAAAGCGTATATTTTAATATTTCATTCTTTAAACTGCAATAGAATTCTACTCATTTTAATATCATATCATTTCATTTCATAGCTCTGATTATAAATGGCAGTTGATGTTATATTCTGTATGATTTTGTTAATATATTACTGATAGAAATATATAATCTAGAATTTTAACTATTTTGAATTTTTAAAAGGAGTGAAGAGATTATGATTTGTAATTTAATCTAGTTTTAAAAAATCTCTCTTACAAATGATACAAAAAAGGTTTAAGTGCGTTTGTTCAATATATTCTATTCATTGTTCAATTCTCTATTCTTTGACATTGCGTTTCATTTAAATTTGTTACATGTATTGGTTACTTATGGATATGACACTCTATTATTGCCAGAATCTAGATATACATTATGTGATAAAGAAAATATTCGTAGTAGGAAGATCGGGCAAAAATGTGAGCGGTCTAGTTGGCAACACTGCTCTCGCTTTCTCTTTCTGCATTCTCTCTCCCTCTCTCTTCGTATTTCCTCTCTCTTTCTTTTTTTATCCTCTCTCTCTCTTTCTCTTTTTCTTTCTACATTTCTTTTTCTCTCTCTCTCTCTCTCTCTCTCTCTCTCTTCTCTCTTCTCCTCTCTCTCTCTCTCTCTCTCTCTCTCTCTCTCTCTCTCTCTCTCTCTCTCTCTCTCTCTCTCTTCTCTCTCTCTCTCCTCTCCCTCTCTCTCTACTTTCTCCCCTCTCCGCCCCCCTCCTCTATTCTACCCCTCCCCCTCCCTCCCTTCCCCCTCCCCTCCATCCCCCCCAAGCAACAACAACAACAAACAACACCGTACCTGATACTTGGCGGTGAGCACGGCGTGACAGCTGTTATAGCCGAGTATCCATCCGGCAAGTGGGCGTCAGGTCAGGTTGCAGGGACAAGGTCAGGCCAGAGATGACAGCCGCCCGCAATTTGGTCACCCACACCTTGTCAGACCCCACCCGCACTTCCCGGGTTCCGATGACACGCCCACTGATGGGGAGAGACCTGTTGGGTGGGGTGAGTGGGGTGAAAAGGGTGAACCTGTTATTGTTATTACTGTTATGACACTCACCTGAACCTCATAAATTCGTTTCTTATTAATCACCTGAAACTCATTCTTCACGCCTCATAATTCCTCAATCCTCACTTGGATCCCATAACTCATCACTCATTACTCATTCCTCACGCCTCATCACTCACTTAGACCTAATTTCCTCACGCCTCATAACTACTCATTCCTCACCGGACCTCATTCTTCACACCTCATAATTCCTCAATCCTAACCCGGACCCCATAACTCATCACTTATTACTCATTCCTCACGCCTCATCACTCACTTAGGCCTAATTTCCTCACGCCTCATAATTACTCATTCCTCACACCTCATAACTCCTCGTTCCTCACCTGGTGCGTCCCGTGAGTGTCGTGAGGATCCTAACTCATACTAAATTCCTGATTTCTCGTCTCTCATAATTCTTTCCTCATACCTCAGCCCTCATCTGGTCCTCATACCTCACCCCTCACATCATGTAGCTCGTCATTCCTCACCTGGATCCCATAACTCATCCCTCATTCCTCACACCTCATAAACACTCATTCCTCACCTGGTCCTCATGCTTAGTCACTCGTTCCTCATTTCTCACACCTCATAGCTCCTCATTTCCCACCTGGACCCCATTCCTCACACCTCATAACTCCTCCATCCTCCCTTGCACCTTATTCGCCAACCTCATAATTCCTCATGACTCCTTCCTTACCTGGACCTCATTCCTCAACCTCATAATTCCTCATAACTCCTCCTTCCTTACCTGGATCTCATTCCTCCATCCTCACAATATCTCATAACTCCTCCATACTCCCCTGGACCTCATAATTCCTCTATCCCCACCTGGACTTTATTCCTCATAACTCCTCCATCCTCACTCGTCCCTCATTCCTCGGAATACCTCATAACTCCTCACACCTCATAACTTGTCCATCCTCAGCCGTCCCTAATTCCTCACGATCCCTCATAACTCCTCCATCCTCACTCGTCCCTCATTTCTCACACCTCATAACTCCTCATTCCTCACACCTCATAACTCCTCCTTTCTCACCTCACAATACCTCATGCCACCTCACACCTCACAACACCTCATACCACCTCACAACTCCTCCCTCCCTCCTCCTGCCTCACCTGGACCTCCGTGCGGCCCGGCGAGCGGCCCATGAGGGTCGTGTGGTTGAGGATGGCGACGGACGTGTCGGCGACTCGTAACAGGTGAGCCACGAGCTCCGTCACGCGCACCTGAGCTCGCCGGGACAACAGGTAGCTGTGGCGGCCGCTGTTGTCGTCGACGGCCACGAACCGCCCGTAGACCTGTGGTGGTGGAGAGGGGAGAGGGGGGGAAGGTGTGTTAGTTATTTTGGGGAGGGGGGGTGTTGGA